AAAAAGAAGTTTGTAAAAAAAGTACTGGAGTGTTTTGCAGCTGTGCTCATTGTAACGGGGGTGGTGACCTCTTATAACATCGAAGAAGTTTACAACGTGCGCCTTAAGGGGTTATCCGCCTTAATCTGCACGATGTCTGAAATCGTGGCTCTTCTATCCACGTGGCTTGTTGGGCAGGTCTCCATATCGCTTTCCTTCAAAGAGTTCTGGAAATATCTGCTGTGTCTAACTAAGGTAAGATCTGCGCCTCAATTGGCGCTCCAGGTGATCAGCCTGGATACTTTCAGGCCGACGAGATCATCGGTCCAGTGGAACCGTCCAGGAAAATTCCCTTCTGCATCGGCACCGTCTTCACCCTCACCTTCATCTGCTTGGGTTTGGACATCTACATGTGGTCGGACATTGTCGTTCCAATTGCTGGCGCTTTCAACTTCGCCTGGCAAGTGGTGCCCTTTTATTTCACCTACGTCTTCACCATGATCCTTGAAGTGAACATCTGGATCACCGTTTGTGAGTTAACTGCGCGCATTCGGAAGCTCGACCATCTGTTGGAAGGGTTTCTGAAGAAACTGGTGAGTGTGTTAAAAATGCGCATACATTTGAAGCGAGAAAGGGGGGCTTTTTCAATATTTCTTGAAGAAGTTGGGACTTCTTCCCAAGTTCCTGCAGGAGGAGGACAGCGTCCCAACCAGACGAATGGCAAATTGGCCCAGGAAGCAACTGGAGCAATGCACTGGCAAGTGGTAAGCACTGCACAATAGGAGAAGGTTTAAAAATATTTCGCTTCAGCCTTCACGCCACACGTGGTGAGAAAAATGATTGGCGCCTACGATAACATCTTGATGGCCAGCGTGTCATTCAACAACCTCTACGGGCCCTCCCTAACGGTAACGACAAAGACGTGCCTCGCACTCAGCCATTAAAAGCGTTTTTCAGGCAATCCTTGTCAATGTTATAGCCTGTCTAGTTCTCACTCCCTACGTACTCTATCAACAAATCCTCAATGCCAAGGAATATGGATTTTTGTTTACGCAATCCTACTGGATGACCTGCCATGTCCTCAGGCTGCTATTCTTGATCCATCCTTGCCATGAGGGCCACAAGCAGGTAAC